CAACTGCAACCAGAGGGGTGGCCCCCTAACCCTTAATTTTATACATTAGAGTTCACATAAAATTTATTCAAAAGGGAGAAAGAGGCTTTACTGCTTAATAAGAAAAGAAAGATTGAGAATATCTCTAACATCCCAATCTACCTTTAGGGAGTATGAGATGGGGAACATTTCCCAATTTACTACTTTTAAAACAGCATTCCCACAAAGTAGGGACACACTGTGGGAAGTGATTCCAACACTTTGCTGTCTACATGAGAACTCCATAGGCTTAGAGCTGTTTGCTGTCAATACAGGTGGAAAACCTGGCTTAAGAGAAATGTGAAAAAAGAAAACCAATTCACAGCGGGCCTAAGAGGACATCCAGATATGTCCTCTGGATTCATTCCAGAAGCATGCGGCTGGCCTTTGCATCTAAATGGCATAAGACAAAAGTAGCTTATTTTCAACTCCTTAAAAAAAATTTTCCACACACTATCAAAACTTCAGAAATAATTTTCCCATAGTAACCGAGAATGTACTTTTCTTACCATTCTTGAAAAATAAAACAACACATTTAAATTATCAAGTTTTTCTAACCCATCTCCTAAAGTTAAGGCTTAGCCAAAGCATTCTCTATAGTAAAAACACTTACAGCTTTTGACACTTAATGATCAATCCCTACATCTTCTAGAGAAGTTTTGTTTTCATTTTTTTTGTTTTAAGTTTAACAACCTTGAACCAGGATTCTGAGCACTCCCTACATTAGGACACTCCAAGTCTCTATTCATATTCACCTTAGAGCAAGAATTCTAATTGTTGACTTAAATTGGTAATTCCAATGTAAAGTTTTAACAATATTGCCATATTTCCACCACACAGAAGTTTCTTCAGGTTTCAAAAAATGCCACTCATGCAAGTTCTCAATTGTTGCCAGCTTTCACCAGAAAAGGAAAGCTTTTCAGATTTTCAAGGGAAGCACATGTTTCCGTGAGCTCTTAAATGCAGTGTAAAAGGTTCAGAAAACGACAGAAATGGCAGAAGGGCAAAAGCCAGCAATTATCTGTCTAAGCAAAAATAACTGCTCACAGGGGAGAAGGAACAAGACTGCCCTAAACCAAAATATTGGGAAGCGCAACAGGAGCATAACCAAACTTTCTTTTTAGATTCTTATACAGGTAACTTCAAACCAGACGTGCCACTTCAGCTAACTGCTACCATCACAATTTTCATCTATACTTTCCTGTTGGGGGTGTGGCTAACTTTAACTGTGGAGCCCATTTGGGATCCTTGGGTGGTAGCTGACATATAAGCACAGAACATCACTGTGAAGTTATGAAGCACTCATCTGAGCCCTCATTAACCAAATAGCTTACAGGAGCATTAGAAAAGCCTGTCGTCCAAGCACAGGCCTGGGAACCAGCCCAGACATATTCGGGGCTCACTTCGTCTCTGGACATGGTAGTGCCTTAATTTCCCTACTTGTGAAACAAGTACAGTCCTGAGAGAATTGAGAATGGTTTATAAAGTACTTGGAAAATAAAACAGGCAAGTCATCAGTATTATTTTATAATACCACAAAGACCAGCAAGGGAGCCTTTACACTTATCCTTATTAAAGGAATCAACCAAGTGATATGAGAAATGTCGCATAAACATAAACAACCCAAAGTTGAGCAACTCAATTACAAATCTACCTATTCTTACTGAAGAGAGAATTAGGATGTGTAGGGATTTATTTTCAATTCTATGGGCTGGTCAAACAATGCATGAGTGTCTTATAGATGATGTGTCTGTTTTTGAGTTAAATCTGAAACATGTTCCCTCAGTAAGCTCTTACCAAAAAACTTTTATGATTTCCTTTATTTCTGAAACACTGCTGAAATTCTTAAGAATTTAGTCTTTAGCTGCTGTCTTAGAACTGTGCTAGTTCAATAAAACCAAGGAAGCTTGTGAGTGCATCTCCAAGAACACGTAAAGGCAGAGGACAGTGAATACGTAATGGAGATGAAGGAACCCAGAATAGAAATAGTGCTCAGAATTTTGCATTTTACACTGATTAGAACAAAAATGTACACAATCAAAACTGGCACTAACTAATGCTCACATTTTATCTGTGATTTTACATACACACACAGCCCCATACAACCAGGTTGATATATGTCCCAATTTGAGAAGCCTGATAACATCTTCTCCTTAAATAAAGCAGAATATGGATTCTCATTTAAGCTGACTCCTCACCTGGGGTAGGTCATGACCAAATCACAGGAATAAGGAGCACTAAGACACTGAAGGAACACAATCATCCTTCCTATCACTTTCTAATTAACAGGGTCAGAAAAACATACAATAAACCATGAAGTCATGATGAAACCATGGCCATTCATGCTGGGCAAAAGGCTTCTCTTATAAAGTGTCTCAACAATCAAGGTGGAAAGGACCAATGTATGAACAAGAAACAGCCTTTACATTCAAAATATCAACTCAGTTAGTGTGGGGCTTTGGTTCATAATAGTTTCAAATGCCAAGTTTCCAAACTAACAACATAAAATGTGTAACTGACAGTGGTGCACATCAGAAAATTTGGCATTTGCTCCAGATTTAATACCACAAGCTCTTACAAAACCAAAGGGTTTAAAACAGTTTAAGCTTATGTGATGCTAATAAGATGTCAAACTCTGTTAATCAAACTATAATTAAATTATTTGTATAGGGGAACAACATTTTTCTTAATCTTCATGCCTTTTTAGGCAGGTTAAATGCAAGTTAAGCTCTCATGGAAAGTATTTTACCTTCTGGAAGACATAACAGGGTTATGACATTCATTTAAAGTGAAAGTCCTTTGGAAGTCGAGGTTGAACAAGTAGCTTATTTACACAACAGTATTGGGCATCTTGATGTAAACTACAAATTAGCTTCTAATCTTATAAAATAAAAATTTCATTTTTGTATTTTCACATAATTTTTAAAAGTTTATTTCACTAAGATTTAAACAGGTTATTTTTAAAACTACAACGTTTAATTCTGATGCTTTTCTCTGCACTTACTTTTCAACTCTAAAACAGCAAACTGTACTTTATGTGCGTGTGTGTGTACAAACATATTAATGGAATTAATCTGCCAAGGTCTATTACAACTTATGCAATTGTTATTTATGTATGTTTCATAAAAGAAAAAATACACTTAAATTCTGAAGATTTTCTTTTATCTTTTCTCTATAAATCCCTACTTGCTTTTTTGTAACAGCTATCTTATTAAATTGTAATTTTCAATTAAATGTGCAGTCAGAATGTGTACATCTTAAATACGTCAATCAACAGATAGTATACTAAGTTTTCAAAATACTAAGAATTATTTTTAATAGATATATTTTTCAAAATTTGTAAGTAGTTACAAGGAAAACAACTCATAGGGTACCTTATATAATCATGCTTTTAGTAATCAAACATAAATGTAAATAAATGTATCCATGTATGTTATAATGAAAATCAAAAGCCATTTTACTTGATAAAACCCTATTTATTGTTTGGTGACTTGATAGCAAGTACACATTCATGGAAAGGCCTGTTCTAATCAGAGAATCTTTAAAGTTTTTAGAAGCTTACCAACTCTTGAGATTGGGTCATCAAAATAAGAATAATTGAGAACTTGACACTTAATCTGTTCAATATGGAGGTGTTTTATTTTAATATAAATAGTATTAGAACTTTTCCTGTACTCTGGCTTATGGGAAAAAAGAGAAATTTAAGCGAAACAAATTAACAGTGGGTATGTTTAAAACCAATGACTTCCAGATAAGTAGGGTGAGGAGGGGTCTTTAGAGATTCACAGCCCAATCACCTATATATTCCACAGACTGTAAGAACCCAAACCAAAGATTTAGTTTAATGTATGGCAGCCTCTAAGTAAGGTAGTCTTAGAAAATTTTCAACAAGGGTGAAGATAAAGAAGGATTTCTACTTAAAGTTCAGTTAAACAGGATACCCATACCCAACCCTTCTAGTTAATTGAGGCTTTTTACTATACTTTAATGAACCCTCACAATTTACCTAAAGTCTAGCCTTTAAGCCCAACTGTTTCACCTTTTTTGGTGTGTGTGTGTCAAAACCAGGGAAACCTTTGAAACCACAGAATATATGCTTTTCTAAGAGCTCAGAGCAACTATAGGGGGAAGACGGCTATTACCAATAAGGTCATCAATTAACACTATCTTATGTATAGTTTGCTAAATCAAACAAAAGAATATTCAAAAACTTCATCTCAAACATACCCTCAAATAAAAAAATTGCCTTCAAATTACTCATTTAAAACTCGTGTAACTATGTATCAAAGACCAAATACAGATCAAAGTTATATTTATTTAAAACTTATAAATAATGCCCATTTAAATATCTGATTCTTGTAATTACTAAATAATTTAAAAGCAAGATAGTGAAGTTTCTAATGGAATACCTGAACAAAACTGCTTCCTTTTCACTCACCAAAACGTTACTTGGTAGCAAATGTCCAATGAAAAGTCTCCCTTGCACCAAAGTGGTCAAGTATGTATCAAATAATACACCCATTCATTTCCCCATAAATTTATCTTGGTGTGTCTATATAAAATACTTGTAACAAAATCTTAAAAGTACCCTGGAGTATCAACAACCAGTCAATCTTTAGTAGCAAGTACATGTTCATGGAAAGGCCTGTTCTGATCCAAGAATCTAAGGTTTTTAGAAGCTTAACAACTCTTGAGACAGGCTCATCGAAATAGCATAACTGAGAACTTAACATAGTTTATGTACAAGAGTGTAGAATGCAAAAGATTAAAAAATATTAGCAACTTAAAATTTTTCTCTCAAACAAGTCAAAAGTCATTTCTCTGTTTAGAACACACGACTACAACTAGCTCTAACCAGTTCCTTGAGGAATGTGGCTAGGCTAAAATTTTGGAAGTGTTGGGCTTTGGTGGTGAGCAAGGAGGAAGAAATCTCTGGCTTCCCTGCTGCTGCAGTTCCCACCCTCCAAAATGAATATACCCACCGGTATGAATTGATAATGCAGTCCAGATCCTCAAAATGGTAGTACAGGGCATAACCACTAGGCCACCTATCAGTTCAGTACAAAAAGTACAACCCTGTGCATCATGGTGCAAAAGCTGGGGCCTAGGTTTCGCATTGTGCATCTCACACCTATGGAAATAACAAGAGGAGTAAAATCTATGGAAATCAACACACCCTAAGAAGGTGAGTGTTCACAGAAGACTGGTGTCATCATTTTTGCAAAGGTGGTTGGCTAAGATAATGAATGGCAATCACAATTCCAAGGTTGGACGGAAACAAAATTTTACAATCAACTGTTGAGCTTGATAATGGAGAACTCAACATGGGCTTGATGTTTACCAACAAGGCTTTGCAAATCATGACACCCATCCACATGCTTATAAAAACTACTACCCCACTAACATCTACCATACCTCCAGAATGATTAACTCTCAATGAGTTGGAAAGATTTGGGACATGAAGAAGGGAGGTAATCAGCAATACCCCAAACCAGTTACTCTTAGGTTTTAAGCTTTCCCCTTTACCATCTGACCTTGGAAAGATATAGTGACACAAAGTTTAAGGTGGAAGAATTCCAGAATTCCAGACAAGGGGAAATCTGTGTACCAAGGATGTGCCAAGGTGATTCGTCAAGAACTAAAGCAGATTGTTTGAGGGTCAACAGTTCTGAAAAGTAAAAAGACAGAACTTCTAAAATGCAGGGTGGATTCTTTAAAAGATATAAAAATCACTGCTCTTGACTCAATCCCTCGCCATGTTGCTGTCAGCTCACCAACTAAGAGTGCAGTGTGTCTTGCTGGGCCCATTTTCCCATGGTCTGTAGAAGGCGCTGTGAAGCACATCCTGTTCTAGCTCTGGGGCCCTTCCCCCCTCTGCAGCCTTACCCAGTGCAGAGAATGCGCCCCCTACTGACTCCAACACTCATAGCCTTTAGCCGACTTGGCTGCGGTGCATTTTGGGTGGGGGCTGGTATTTTCTTCGTGGCCATAAACCAGAAGCAACAATGCAGATTTATAAAGAAACTGTATCAAGCTCCCTAGGAGATTTTTTTTTCTCATTCTGAAGGTTCAAGGCACTGGCACGAGAAGCATCAGGAATAGGAATTGGGTGTGTGGGGATGGACAGCCTTAAAATGGCAAACACAGGAACAGTTTGGTTCTTTTTCCCTCCTAAGCCTTTGTCTGAGAAATGGGGCTATGACAAGAACTGTCCAGAGGAACTAGTGGATGCAAGAACATCAAGAACACTTATTGTGGGTGTGTGTGGCTAAAAAAAGACATCAGATCTTAACGACTGGTCCTGGGCAGAAGAGAAGCAATCGCGCCTTTTCCAGGCATCCAGGTTGGGGTGAGGGCAGTCAGGCAGCCAAGAGGAAAGAAGAGGTGAATAAAAGGGTGCTCAAGGAACTACTCCCCATTCATTGCATTAAAAAATCTCTTCGTAGCTTTCTGCGTTTCCATTTTTTACCACCTTACTGCAATGTTGGGGCTCAGAATGCTCCTAGGAGGTCGTCTGACCAGGCGCTGCGATTGAGTAGAGGGTGGTGGAGGACTCCGTCCTCAGGATAGGAGGGGAACTGGCATGTTGGGGAGGAAGGACTGCACCGGAGAGGCAGACTTTCACTCGGTGCTATGCATGCTCCCCG